GACAGTACTTGCCCCAATATCTCATCAAGAAAAGCTCACATTACAGTAAATATTATGATTTTTAAGCAAATGTAGCCATAGAGGAAGAACAGGTTTATGTCCATTTTTCACATATTGCAGATAGGTAAAACTCCTGCCACATATCACTTGCGTGAGAACACATGAAACTTTGCCTTCCTATAGAGTGGCATTCCTGGTCTGCAGACGCTGGTTTTCATATGAAATTACTATTAATTACCTTTCAATGTTAGATTTGATTTTGGATTGTTATCCTTACTTCGCTGTAATTTATCTTTTAATTGCAGGGATATTTGATGCAAGAGATTTAATTAACTGGTCTCTGTTAGAATTTATTTCCTTGTACGATGGTTAATATCACAGATGTGTCTTTTGGACTCTTCGTAAGTTCAGTTTGATACTGCTTGGCAGACCGAACTTGGTTAGCTCTTGTTGTAGCTGAAATAAAGATCAAATGTTTTTAAACTGACTATTAGTACCAGAATTTTGGAAAAAAAAACAAAAAAATACTATGTTCTGTAGTAAGTGCAACTTACTTTCTCTAAAACGGACCCAATGTTTTCACTCTCTCTTAGGTCTGAAAATGAAGTAACTCTCATTTGAACTCCTATGATATTTTCTAAGAGAATCAATGCACACACACAGTATGGTGGTCAATTAATTACAGGAATAGTTTACCCAAAAATTCAAATTTGCTTACAATTTACTCACCCTCAAGACATCCAAAATGTAGACTAATTTGTTTTCAATAGACCACATTTGGAGAAATTTGGCATTGCATCATTTGCTCACCAATGGATCCTCTGCAGTGAATGGGTGCCGTCAGAATGAGAGTTCAAACAGCTGATAAAACCATCACAATAATAATCCATAAGTAATCCACACCACTCCAGTCCATCAGTTAACATCTTGTGTAGTGAAAAGCTGCATGTTTGTAAGAAACAAATCCTTCAAGACTTTTTAACTTTAAAAACGTTGCTTCCTGGCTAAAATAAGAGTTCATAATCCATAATACAATTTCCTCCAGAGATGAAGTCCTTCCCCTGTTGTCTCTCACATCAAAATCCATCCACATATTTCTTTAGAATTGTTTTGGCTTGTAAATGCTACTTGATGCATGCAGATTTTTCACCTGATTCAGACAAGATTACTTTTTTATTATGGACTCATATTTTCGCCAAGCACAAGACATTAACTGATGGACTGGAGTGCTGTGGATTACTTGTGGATTATTGTGAAGTTTTTATCAGCTGTTTGGACTCTCATTCTGACGGCACCCATTCACTGCAGAGGATCCATTGCTGAGCAAGTGATAAAATGCTACATTTGTCGAATGAGGAAACAAACTCATCTTGGATGGCCTGAGGGTGAAACTTTTAAAACGTGCTTGTTTGCTTGTTTCTGGGTACATTCTTATTGTAACATTTGGCAGACACTTTTGTTCAAAGGAATTCAGGTTGATTCAAGATATAAATTATTCTGTTCATTGTAGTGGCATGCTGAGCAACAAGAACCTTGACTTTAGGCCAAATATAATAAGTGAATAATACTACAGATGATCATTTTGGTGGCAATTGTGTACCTTTTATGTTTTGATCTGGTCCACCGTCCACCCTGAAGGCCAATCGGCCTGGAACATTGACATTAGTGGAGTTCTTGAGGTTTGGAATAACATTCCCATCGTTTGACCCAGGGACCTTAAAGTAGGCTGTGGAGTTTATTGTGTCATAACCAGCCTGTACACACAAGGAAAAAAAGAATTATTGAGAAAGATTATCAAAAAAATGTAGGCATATTTGTTCCACTAATACAGAAATCATGTCTTACCTGCACCATATTATGCGCCACAGCAATGTCACCATAATTCATGAGAATAAAAGACAAATCACCGCCCGAAATTAAAACCACTTGAAACTACGTTTCCTGCAAAGTTTGGGAACATTGACTGTTACACAGCTCTAAGAATATCTCATCTGTAACCTTGAGCTTGAAGGAGTTATAACAAACTAACTCACCGTGCCAGAGTGATAATAGTATGCAATTCTTTCCCAAGTTGCAACCAGGACCCAATTAGCCGTGAAGCTCAGATCAGGGAAATACTGGTTTATATCCTGAGTGGCACGAGTGAGAACGCTCCCGGTTGAGTACTGCTGATACAAGATGATGCCATTCATACTGACGTCAACGTCGGTCCAGAGGGGAGCAATGATGTCTTCACTTCCATTGATGGGAAAGTAGTTAACAATAAACTGTGATGAAGACTAGTTGAATGTAAGGTGTCCGTTACTGTTAACTTAAGTAATGGAAGATATTAGTTGTGCATGTTACATTTTAATCATTCACCATTTGCATTAATGCTGTTCAGTTGCTTTGACGCAATCTGTATTGTTAAAAGCGCTATATAAATAAAGGTGACTTGACATTAACAGAACTAAATTCTCACATATGTCCTGTTGTATGTGCGGCCGAAGAACACAAAAGGACTCCACAGGTCAATAAGCGTGGAGTTTTCATCCTCAATGGCAATATTGACAGTGTCTCTGAACCGAATGGATAGAATATCACCAGCGCTGCACGTAAAAATGAACAACTTCAAGCTCAGTTCATGTTAACTTCAAACAGTTCAGCTGGACTTTTTATATGTTCTAGTTCTAAGGGCAATCATTACCTGTCTGTGCCTCTGTCACCCTGCCTGATGAAGAAAAAGATTACATTTAAATACAATTCCATAAGAATGTGTATTGTCTATGCTATATTATGAAGGATTATTATTCAAATGGATGTTAAAACTCACTCAGTGACAGGACTGATATGAACACAAGCAGATAATGTGAAAGTGGACACACTCTCATGATAAATATTTGGATGAGGTCAGAGATACCAGAATGCCACTGCTATAATTTCATACAGAAGCACAAGAGAACAAAACCATCTTAATACTTATTTTCATTTAAAAGTTATACAAACACTTGTCAGTTGAATGCATAAAATATCAAATTATGCATACACAACATAAACTAAATTATCAAAGCAAACCATATAGACAAATAGTTAGATGGTACTTATTTCAGACTGTCATATGGACTACGTTCTTGTACTTTCTCTGTCACTAATTATCATAGCATTGAAGGGAGGGACATGTTCTGTGAATGTATGCCAAATGCATTCAGGTGAATGGCATCTGAACTTTTTATAATGCAACTCAATGTTCAAGCTAAACAACAATTGAAGTAAAACAACCTCCATTGACTTATGACACCTCATAACTTTTTTTTTCAAGAGTTCATGCAATTAAAATTGTATCTGGGTGAATTGTGCTTAGGCACTCTTGCCTAATGTATTTGCTGTAGGAGGATTTTGTTGATGTTCATGATCCCCTGCAGTGAATGGGTGCCGTCAGAATGAGAGTCCAAACAGCTGATAAAAACATCTCAATAATCCACAAGTAATCCACACCACTCCAGTCCATCAGTTAACATCTTATGTAGTGAAAATTTGCAAACTTTAAACAGTTGCTTCTGGCCAAAATACAAGCCCACAATAATGATTCCTCCAGTTAACAAGTCCATCCACCAACATATTTGTTTAGATCTGTTTTGGACAGTTTTTGCTTGTAAACAGAACTTGATCTGTGTATATTTCTCTCCTGATTCAAACAAGTTGACTTTTTTGCTCAAAAAAAGCAGTATTACGAACAGAGGACACGTATTTTAGCCGAAAGCAACAGTTTGAAGTAAAAAAACGCTGTCACGATGGATTTGTTTTTTTTTAACTTTTTTAAAAGATTTTTGCTTCGCAAGTTGTTAACTGATGGACTGGAGTGGTGTGGATTATTGTGATGTTTTTATCAGATGTTTGGACTCTTATTCTGACGGCACCCATTCACTGCAGAGGATCCACTGGTGAGCAAGTGACGGAATGCTACATTTCTACAAATCTGATGTAGAGACACACTGATCTGTATCTTGGATGACCTGAGGGTGAATAAAGTTTAAGCAAATTTTCATTTTTGGGTGAACTATTCCTTTTTGTCATTCATCAGCTTGGAAAAAAAATATCGCTATATGATTCAAATGATGCATAATCCATCACAAATGTATGTTTACTGTCATAAACATGCATAAAAAACCTTCATATTCATGACATGTATCATGTCATGATTATGTAGGTGTCATGTTATGATTATGAAGGTGTCATGTCAGTCTTATGCACACCCCTTCAAGTAAAGTGTAACCGTTTACGGTTCATTCTTACGTGAGAAGAGTTTCAATAAAATTTCCCATGAGTGAATGAGAACTGGGCTGTCAAACTCAAAGGAGAAAGTATCCTAAAAATGCAAATAAACTTGATCATAGTATCGGTGCACCATATTACACCATTTAATATGTAACATAAGCTTGTTTATGACCCACTTCATCACGACTTAGCCTACTGAGTAAATTGATTATTTCAGATGTAGATTCTTCTTTTTGTAAACATTTTTATTTGTCACGCCATGCCAAATAAAGTGTCTTCGAGTGTGCCTCAGACAAAAGTGGGCCAAGTAAAACATCATAACTGTTCATCTAGCTGTTTCCACATGTGATTTAAAAAATATTTTCAGTATGTTTCAATATTGTCAATATGCAATAATTTCCCATTCAATCCTTAAATTAATGTAGAAACAACATAAAGATGCATGAACTATAACTATACAGAAGATCTGAATAAACGTTGAAAAAAAGGACTAAAAGCTTCACGTATTGTTAGTGATTGATGTCAAAGGCTGGGCATCAAATCAAACTCTACGGTATTTTGGCATCAAACCATGGTGCCAACATAAACAGGTTGTGACACATGCAATCATCCTCAAAAACCATAAACAAAACCATAAACTGAACATTATATTGCCAACTGTGTAAAACCAGCTGTCCTAAAGTATGATGGTAACATAGTTGAATCAGTAAACAAGTAGATTTCGTGAAGGAATTTTTTGACACGGATGAGTAATGCTTCAAGTAAATGGAGCTGTAGACGAAGAACAGGTTTCATTTTATTGTTCACATACAGATCAGTTTTATTAGTTAAACCCCCTGAAACTCTTGAGGAGGCAGGACAAAAAAAGGAAAAGCAATGATTATTCTAGCTAAATGAACATGGTATATAATTCATTTTTCATACATTATTTCTTCATTAGTGCTAAATCATGGTTGCGTTTTAGTTATTAGATGTGTTTAAAAAAAACTGACGTTGTAGAGTGAGAAAATATACACGTTCCCTTCCTGTGTAATGACATTCCTCTCTTTATCAGTTTCTACATCTTCAACGTCACTGACAATCAGAGTTTTAATTCCCATCCATGTGTTACATCTGTGTCTTTTTGACTTTTCTTAACTTCAGCTCAAAGTTACTTGACACTCCATGATTGATCAGCTCTTGTTTGATCTGAAACAAAGATGGATACACAGATCAAAATGTTTTATTTCCACTGTAATCTACTGGTTTTGGTTACTGGTAAAATTTCCCAGAGTAAAACATAGAAAAGGTCACTGCGAGATAGAAAAGTCACAACTATCAGATATAAAGACAACGTTTTTTCCCTCCTGAGACAGAAAAGGGCTTCCAAAAAACAACTTATGTTATAAAAAGTTTGACTTACTTGATGCAAAACAACCTCGATCTTTCCACTCTGTGTTAGGTCTGAAAACGACTCAAGCTTCATTTGAACTCCCATGACGATTTCTAAAAGAACACACACATCATAAAACATGATATAAACAAACTGTTAACAGCAACACATCATTTTGATTCCTACCTGATCCGTTGTTCACAAGAAAGGCCCAACGTCCCGGAATGCCTACATTAGTCAAGGTGTTGAGGATTGGGATGGAGTAGCCATCATTTGGATTATGGTGAATTTGATAGTAGTCCGTGGAGCCTATTGTGTCGTATCCAGCCTATTAAAACCAATCGAAGATTGTGTATACAAACAGAGCTAGTAAATCATTATTTCAATACTGTGATGTTTTTTTACCTGAGCTGCATATTGCTCCCCAGCACAGTCACCATAATGCATTAAAATGAACGAAAAACCACCACCTGACATTAAAACTGCTTGAAAAGTAATTGCCTGAAAAGAAAACAAACAACATCATGATTCATAGCTCATATAGCCATCAGTCTTTTGCCTGAAAAAAGGATAGATAGAAAGAAAGAAACTATTTACCGGGCCTGCGTGACTGTTAAATACATTAATATCCCATGTTAGCACATAGTCCCACGTTACAACAAAGACCCAAGAAGCAGAGAAGCCCCTTCCAGGGAAATACTGGTTTATATCCTGAGTGGCGCGAGTGAGGACACTTCCACTGGTGTACTGCTGATACGAGTATCTACCTATACCAACTTCATCAAGCTCGGTCCAGAGCGGAGCAATGTAATCCTCATTTCCATATGTGGGAAAAGGGTAAGGAGGATGAACTTCTGGTAAAGGTTGGGTGAATGTAATGAGTCCGTTATTATTAACCTGAAATAAAAGAAATTGGTTTAAATACACCAGTAAAGTATGAACTGACGTGTCACAACATTTACATTCATATTAGACTTGGAATAAAATTGAATTCTCACGTATGTAGTGTTGTACTTCCGGCCAAAGTACACAAACGGAGTGGAGAAGGTAACAAATCCGTAGGTTTCGGAACCAGTTTCAATAATTTCTGTGTCTCCTTCATCTGTGCCGAATGGATAAAATATCGCCGGTGCTGATGTGAGGATGAACATAAAAAAAAAAATACAAATGAACAGTTTTTACAATCCTCATAATTATCGCGATTCCGACACAAATGCACAATTAATTCAGAAGTCGATAAATACCTGCCCATGGAGTTGTTGTTGCAGTGGCTGTTAAAGAAAACAGTGTTCACTTATAAAACAGTTCAATAAAGAACATTAAAAACAAATTGCACACCCATATGATGAGTCTTGATTTAGTCGCTGCATAATTACTGGTTGAGATTGTGGTGGTTGATGTGGTGGTTTCTGAAAGAATGAACAAATACAAACACGATTAAATACCTCATGGGTGTAGTTTTTATATATTTCCTACTGAAATGGAAAGTTGGGGGATTTGTCTGTAATTCATTAATTACTTGACAGTGTTGTTGGTGCAGGTGCTGCTGTAATGCCTGTTAAAGAACAGATTATTAAATTATAAAAACTTCTGTAAAATACATAAAATCATTGCATGGGCTTATAATATTTGACCTATTTTCAGTCTTCAGCTGTCCCATATTTTAGAAACAAACAAATCCATTATAGCTTGGAAAAATGTCAAGATATTTTCATTAACTAGCTCTACGAGTATAAAAAAATCCATGCCCATGTTTCCATTGTAAGCAATGGGCTTTACTGGCCACATCAGTAAATAGCAGCGTTATTTCATTTGTATTTTCATATATTACTATTGCTCTTAGTTAAAGTTTTCATTAGGTTTTTTTATATGTTTAATGTTTTTATATGCTTAATGTTTTATATGTTTAATGGTTTTGTGGTGAAGTAAATACTACAGAAATACAAATGTAATTTCTACAATAAATAATTTAGTTCAGGCAAGGATTAAAAAAAAAAGAGTAAAATTAATATTAGTACTCAACTTAAGCTTGTAGAATTCAAAGTTTAAACTTATAAGTATGTTTTACTTGGAATTGTTTATGATTACAATGACTTTAAGTAAATATCAAAGTCATGATCCCGTTGTTCCCATCATGCACTTGGGCATGAATAATTAATAACGTTCATTTTTTTGCTGTTTTCGAGTTGTATTCAGGCCCGACGTCAAAGGGGGGCTTAGCTGTCCTAAAATATTTTTAGTTCACTACAAAAGCCCACTAAAAGTTGATTTTGGCATCTTTACAGTGGAACACAGTCTCGAATCCCTTAAACGGGAGAAAAAGGTTGTTATTACCTGTTGTGGTGGATTCCACTCTGGTGGTAGTTTCTGAAATACATAAAAAAATTTATTATAAATGTGTTTCCTATTCCTGTCGTGTTTGTTCAATTTAGTGTTTTAAAGGTTAAAGGAAAACTCATTTCATTCAAAGAGCTTTAACAACCTGCTGTTGTTGGTGGTGGTGGTGTTGTAGTTTCTGTTGTAACTTCAATTAAAGAAAAAGAGCAAAAAATTACAACAAACTTTTGTAAACTAAAAAAAAAAAAAAAAAAAATTGCATGATTCTTTCACAGCTTTATTACCTAATGTGGTTGCCAATGTAGTGGTTTCTGAAAGATGGAACACAAATACCATGAAATACCTAGTGAACTCACTTGACAAGTGTGGTTCTCTTTTCTAGTAAAGATGCTCAAAGATGTTGTTTCATAATGGGCAATATTTAAAAAAAAACAGGTTTGGTTCTACTTCAGAAGTCTTTTTAAATTTCTATTAAAGAAAAAAGAGCTTAAAATGACAACAAACTTCTGTAAACTACAAAAGAAAAAATTTAAACAAAATGTTGCATAGCTGTGTGATGATTCTTTCATCACTCACAGCTTTATTACTTGGTGTGACTGTGCTGGTTAATAATGTGGTCATTTCTAAAATAATTTATTAATTCATAAAAGAATGAACACAAATACTATTAAATACCTCATGAAGTTCCTATTCCGATGTCGTGCTTGTTTTATTCACATCATAAGCAGCATTAAGGTTGAGAAAAATGGGTTTAAGATCGACAGTGCCGTTAAAAGGTTTTTGCCCCCTTCCTGTTTTTTTTTTTTTTTTGCATATTTGTCACACTTGAATGATTCAGATCAAACTAATTTTAAAATTGCACAAAGATAACCAGAGTAAATACAAAATGCAGTTTTTAAATGATTATTTATTTTATTAAGGGAAAAAAGCGGTCCAAACATGCCTGGCACTACGTGAAAAAGTAATTGCCCCCTAAACCTAATAACTGGTTGTGCCACGCTTTGCAGCAACAACTGCAATCAAGCGTTTGCGATAACTGGCAATGAGTCTTTCACATCGCTGTGGAGGAATTTTGGCCCCCTCTTCTTTGCAGAATGGTTTTAATTCAGCCACATTGGAGGGTTTTCGAGCATGTTTTAAAGTCACAGCATCTCAATCGGATTTAAGTCCGGACTTTGATTTGGCCACTCCAAAACCTTCATTTTGTTTTTCTTGAGCCATTCAGAGGTGGACTTGCTGATGTGTTTGGGATCATTGTCCTGCTGCATAACCCAAGTGCACTTGAGCTTGAGGTCACAAACTGATGGCTGGACGTTATCCTTCAGGATTTTCTGATAGAGTGCAGAATTCATGGTTCCGTCAATTATGGCAAGTTGTCCAGGTCCTGAAGCTGCAAAGCAGCCCCAGACCATCACACTACCACCACCATGTTTGACTGTTGGTATGATGTTCTTTTTATGAAATGCTGTGTTGGTTTTACGCCAGATGTAACGGGACACACACCTTCCAAAGGTTCAACTTTTGTCGCATCAGTCCACAGAATATTACCCCCAAGACTTTTGGGCAAATCAAGATATTTTTTGGCAAATGAGAGACGAGCCTTTGTGTTCTTTTTGGTCAGCAGTGGCTTTTGCCTTGGAACTCTCCCATGGATGCTGTTTCTGTCCAGTCTCTTTCTTATTGTTGAATCATGAACACTGATCTTAATTGAGGCAAGTACGGCCTGCAGTTCTTAGATGTTGTTCTGGGTTCTTTTATGACCTCCTGGATGAGCCGTCGTTGCGCTCTTGGAGTAATTTTGGTTGGCCGGACACACCTGGGAAGGTTCACCACTGTTCCAAGTTTTCTCCATTTGTCGATAATGACTCGGACCATGGTTCGCTGGAGTCCCAAAGCCTTAGAAATGGCTTTATAGTGCTTTCCAAACTGACACGTCAACTGTTTTGATTCTCATCTGTTCTTGAATTTCTTTAGATCGCGGCATAATGTGTTGCTATTTAAGCATGCTTCACTTTGTCAAACAGGGTCTATTGAAGTGATTTCTTGATTCAACAGGTCTGGCAGTAATCAGGCCTGCGTGTGGCTAGTGAAATTTAACTCAGCTTTCTAAAATAATATGGTTAATTGCAGTTCTTTCATGATTCAACAGGAGGGGGCAATTCATTTTTCTCGTAGGGCCAGGTAGGTTTGTACATCTTTTATCCCAAATAAATGAAATCAGAAAAACAGATCTGGTTCTAATTCAAAGGTCTGAATCATAAGTACCTTCTGTTGTTGTTGGTGCAGATGTTGTTTGTGCTCTGGCTGTTAGAGAAAGAGAGATTATTAAATTCAGAAACACACATTTTATTGTCTTTTCCACATTAAGAGTAATAATCAAACTGTAAATTAAAACCTTACTCAGTGACATGACTGATATGAACACCAGCAGATGTTGTGAAACCCGAAACAATCTCATGATGAAGTCAGGGATAAAACCGCAATGTAGAAGTGTTTCTTCAGTTGCCAGAAAGAGCTTTATTCTCACTAGACCGATGTTAATCTGGAATATCGAAAATAATAATTACTTGTTAGAAATTAGATGTTTCCAGCTTTAAAATGTGACTGTAGGAACTGCTTCTGAAGCTGTTTAATCTTATGAATTTTGTCTGTCTATAAGTAAACATTTTTTGTATCACTAAAATACTATGTAAATACTATGGCCACGTTCACACAGCAGCAGAATATGGTTGTCAGTCCTGTTTTTGAGTCCTTAATAAGGTTAGATTCACACACAGTACAGTTATTTATGGGTGTGACAACCGAATTCTGTAACCGAACTCACACCTGTACATCTTCAGGACTCGCAACCACATTCTCGGAACACACGCGCTGTGTGAACGGAACATGAATGATGCAGGTGAACAGGATGAACTCGTGGCTCGACTGGACTCTTGTCGTGTCAGAAAGTGATAAGACTTTCAGTTTTATGGACGTCGCCATCTTTGATTTTACATTGGTCACTGTCGCTATGGTTACTGGTAAGGAATACGGGCTTGACTCCCGTTGCACGTTCATACAAACAGTATTCTAAACACAATTGTAAGCTGCTGTGTGAATGGGACATTTCGAGACTCACACCTGTAAAGAAAATACGGTTGTTTATCCAATCCCAAAAATTGACAGTGTGAACGTAGCCTATGTATTTTCTAGTAAATACATATGTTTTACAAGAAAATAATTTCAGTCTTTCTACTTTCGAAATTTCATGTTTGATTCAATGTGGTAGGCTACTTGCCATTTCTTTGCAATAAGCCTATCTGTGCAATTTACTAGCAATTTCTTAGTGAAAACTCTTTCAAAGTCCTTTTTTTCAGTGGCATGTGTCGAATCAGACCTTGACCCTGATCGGACTTCTATAACAAACTATTTTGCAATACATGTAGGCTACACAATAAGCAGATTTATCAAATGTTTCACATGTTACAGTTTTATAAATATAAATGGATAGCAGATCAACACACCTAATATAAAGTGACCAAAATCCATATTACACTTCCTAATCCCAATTACACTTGCTGTATAAAGTGGCAGAGCTATTTAATTCTGAACATTTTTAATAGGCTATAAAGGTAAATATTGTTTGAACACTAATACCTTTAACTGTATTGCTTCTATCGTTCTGTAGGCATTTATCGTATTGTTTTATAAAATCATAAACACATTAAGCAACTTGATTGACTCATTGCTTTATTTTTGCCGTTTTCTCAAATTATAACTGATATTGCAAAATATACCCATTATTATATTATGTTTAAGTTACGTAATTCATAACAAAGGTAGACTGTGTGTGAATAAGCTTATGGAGTGTAACATTACATAGAAAGATGACTTACCTCATACAGCTTCTTCTGAGCTGCTCTTGCACCTACAAGTTAGCAGGAAGTCTATTCGGTTTTTAAAGCATGTCCCGGCAATGTTTACAGGGAAACATGTCCTGGAATGGAAGAAAACATTTGTTGTTGGAATACTGCCAGTAATTCACCAAAACAAAACAAAACAACAAATGTGCCTGTCTGTGTGTGCACCTTCCCCTTTAAATTTCTGACAGCAGCGTTAGTCTTAATTTCCTGTCTTTGCACCTCCTCTTCTCATTATTATTCACCTGGAACATGAGAAATATTGTCAAAATCACTGATCCCTGCTGTACAGTATGTGCGGCCAAAGAACAGAAATGGACTCGACAGCTGAATAACAGAGGAGCTTCCATCAGCAGGATTGTTTGTGTCTCTTACTGCCCAGCCAAATGGGTAAAATATTCCTCGCCATCTTTTGTTTACATTTCACATTGATTTATGTGGCGAATGTTTAAATCTAATTCAATATGATAATGACCTCTGGTGGTGGACGCATGTGACAGGAAAATACTTAATCACTACATAATTACTCTCTATATGGTCTGGAGAAGCTAATAGGCATGAACTAAAAGCCACACATAATCATACACGTGGAATACTAATTTGTGTTTGTTGAATTACATATTTAAATATATTCATAAACTAATCATACAAACACATTATATGGGCTCACATAAAATTCATTAAAACACTGGCTTTTTTCGATAGAGAGATTTTTATATGTTTTTTTAACTACATTTTAGTCTCACTTTTTTTGTCAACTATATTGCATGTTGACACAGACACAGCGTTTTAAAGAAGTTGGTGTCATCTCGTCTAATATAAAAAAGTTCATAGAAAAACATCGTTCATCAGAGTTTTTATTAACAAACTTAACACTACTGTACAAAACACACCACTAAATGACACAAATTTTCATGAGACATCACATCATAACTTCAGCAGTCAGTAGAGGTTAAGGTAAGTAGAGGGTAAGGTGGGGTAAGTCTGTCTAGTACACTGGACACAACGAGTTTTTTGTCGTGCCGCGCTGCATCCAGTGTAGCATCACTGACAGCATCACTGATTATAATGAGTTCTATAGTATTTTGTCACGCCACGCCACTCGCGTCTGGTGTAGACATTGGTTTTGCTTTGTTTCACAGAACTAATCGTTGCCTGGGATGCGTACGTATGTGTGGTGCGGAGCTATCAAAATAGGGGTCAGACCCTTTTGGGGTCATGGCGTGCTTGTTTTGGTGATTTCAAATGTCAACATTGGCTACCAGAAATCACTTACCCCAGGCCCACCTTTTATGGAAATGTTTGTGCTGTGCCTGTTAAAGAGAAAGAGAGATGATTAAATTCAGAAAAAGCAATTCAGAAATGTGTGTATTTATACAAATACATTAACACTGAAAAACAAACAGGATCAAAGCCTTATCAAGTGACAGGACTGATATGAACACCAGCAGATATTGTAATACCAGAGGCAGTCTCGTGATGATCAAAATCAGGAAAAAACTGAATGAAGGAGTCCTTCTTCTGAAACTAGAGAGCATTATTAGAGCATCATACATTATTTTAAATACAGTTACACCAATGTCACTTTAAAATCTGTCTTAATAAAAGCCCTTATTAGAAATTTGATTAAATCAGACTCAGATCTGATTTACCCAAGTAAATACAAAATGCAGTTTTGAAATAATTATTTAATTTATTAAGGGAAAAAAGTTGTCCAAACCTGCCTGGCCCAATCTTAATTTTGTTTTTCTTGAGCCATCCCAGATAGCATGCAGATGTGGGCCACTTAATCACTTATCACAATGATACGGCACTGCTGGCCTACTTATGGCCCGGAAAAAAGGATGTAAGCCTGAAGTGACCCGTATGTAAAATAGCAAAAATGGCCCAAATCTATCAAATCACATGTAGGCCTCTGTAGGCAAAGATGCGGTTTTCACGGCAATGTGTAATCTGAATGTGACCCTAATGTGGCCCATGTGGTAAACAGTGAGTATGGTCCAAATAGTGCCAACCAAATGTTAGCACAATTGACAAAGGCTAATCAGGGTGTAAACCAAATATGGTCCACATATGTTTCAGCAAAATGTGGCCCAGGTATATGAAAACGTATCTGGGCCAGTTTTGGCAAAGATATGGCACAGTAAGCACTGGCTAATGTGGCTGTGAGCCTAAAGTGGCCCGTATATGATGCCACAAATGTGGCCAAGTTATCCTAAAATGCATCTGGGCCAGTTTTGGCAAAGAAAGGGCACAGTAAGCACTGGTTAATGTGGCTGTGAGCCTAAAGTGGCCCGCATATGCTGCCACAAATGTGGCCCAGTTATCCTAAAATGTATCTAAACCAATTTTGGCAAAGAAACGGCACAGTAAGCACTGGCTAATGTGGCTGTGAGCCTAAAGTGGCCCGTATATGATGCCACAAATGTGGCCAAGTTATCCTAAAATGCATCTGGGCCAGTTTTGGCAAAGAAAGGGCACAGTAAGCACTGGTTAATGTGGCTGTGAGCCTAAAGTGGCCCGCATATGCTGCCACAAATGTGGCCCAGTTATCCTAAAATGTATCTAAACCAATTTTGGCAAAGAAACGGCACAGTAAGCACTGGCTAATGTGGCTGTGAGCCTAAAGTGGCCCGTATATGATGCCACAAATGTGGCCCAGTTATCCCAAAATGTATCTGAGCCAGTTTTGGCAAAGATGTGGCACAGTAAGCACTGGCTAATGTGACAGTGAGGCTAAAGTGGCCCGCATATAAAATAGCAAATATTGCCCAAATAATTAATAACAATTTGGGCCACTTTTGGCAAATATATATCTCAGTCAGCACTGGCTAATCAGTGTGTAAGCCTAACTTGTCCCACATTTGCTTTTGCAAATATGCCTCATATATTATAAAACAGATGAGGGCCGATTCTGGTTTGGATGTAGCACTTGACACTGGCTAATTGAAATGGAAGTTTTAAATTGTAAATATGGCCTAATAGAATTTGGCTACTTTTAGTAGAATGCAACAGTTAACTGAAGCAGGGTAATCTGGATATGAGTCTTAAGAAGGCTACATAGCCAGCAAATTATTTTTTGAAACATGCTTTTGATGGCAGTTTTTTTTTTATAAGGAAAGGACGTGTGGCCAAGTATGGTGTCCCAAACTTGGAATTTGTGCTCTGCATTTCACCCATCCAAGTGCACACACACATCAGTGAGTAGTGAACAAAAACACACACACACACACACACACACACCGTGAACACACACCCAGAGCAGTGGGCAGCCAATGCTGCGGCGCCCGGGGAGCAGTTGGGGGCTCTGTGCCTTGCTCAAGGGTCTCACCTCAGTCGTGGTACAATGATAGCTCTAACGGTCACGGTTTCTGTTAATTTGGACTTTGTTTTCCTTTTACACCATTTCCCTTGTTGTGTTGATTGTATTATTCTGTTTAGGTGTGCCTAGTTAATTATCCTTCTTTGGTCTGAGTACTTATGTTCACTGTCTTGAATGTTGCTGTGCTACATTGTGTTTGGATTTACCCTTGTTGGATTAAAGACTTATGATATATAACCCTTCATCTTCATCATGCGCTCTTTAACACAGCATAGCCGTGACACTTAAAGATTAGGTAGAGTCTGAGTGAGAAGCACTTAGGTTCAAACTTGTGAATAACTGTTTTTAAAGTATTGGACTGTGTCTTTGAATATTTATCTGTGACATTTGAATTGCTGCTTGTGCAAAACTTGGGTTGGGGTGATTTTACCAAGTAGGACACATTTCTGGAACTCATTTGAACATTTAGCGAGGACATTTTTAAAATTCTCTTTACAATATGTTGAGTATTGTTGATGCATAACTCACTTAAGGCTTAGTGTGTCCCAGGTAATGTATACAGTATTTATGGTTTATTTGGTTCATTATTAGCTAAATGTGGCTGTGCAGTGGCCTGCTTGTGGACCACTGCCAAAATGCCACCATTCCATGCAGCATGTGGGCCACATGAGGAATGTGAGGAAGAATATTTTAATTTAAAAGACTTTCAAACACATGCAGATAAAGACGTTTAATGAGGACGCTGCAGTGAGCACTCGAGATCTGAGAAATGCGACGCAATCGGCTCTGAGTGAGACAAACAACAGCTCACAAACACCTTAATTTAGCTCTTGATGTGTTCTAATGGGTGGATTGTATGCAATCGATTGAATACTTTATTTTAAAATGCTGTAGTTTTTAGGAGCACACAGCAAAAGTGCTGATCGGAGCGAGTGGTGATCTCTCATCTTTCTATTCTCTGGCCAACAGACAATCATTATTAAAGAGCCCTGACCTGGTAATGATCAGATATCTTGGTTTTTTTAACCGATTTGAAATTGAAACTAAGTGAGACAAGTTATCCCGCGGCTCCTCCCTCTAGTGGAGTGCAATTGTCCTCTAGAGGGGGCATTTTTTCTCAGTCGATGGGACATTTTTTATTTTTTATATTTTTTTATAGGAAAACTGTAAGTCTGAAAAAATATAGCAACAAATGAGACATCAGGGCCCATGTCTCTGCTGAGTTTGGGGCTTGTGGCTTTAAAGCCCTGGGACGTGTTGGAGTTGGAAAATTTGGTCTCAGAAGAATAAGATATAAGTTTAAATAGCATAACAGTGTGTTGACTTTGCCAAGCCAAAATAATTAAATACAATTTCATTAAATGTGGCATACTGCTATTATCACTTGCTTTGAATACATGATTATTCAAAAAACATTTTATCTTTTTAATATTTTGACTTTTTTTCTGGGCAAAACAAACATACTAACCAAGGACTTTACACAAGATGTCACAATCTTCTTGACTCTTTTCTGGCCTAAACAGTATGTTCTCCTTATAAGCAGAGAGTTAAGTGGAGAAAAACAATTGTTAGAATACCATTTTAGCCTAAGCTACTGAATAGAAAACAGAATGAGGCAGCTGTATTCAAGCAAACGGTATGCTGAAACCACAGAGCATGCAAACAATACTTCCCCAGAACATATGAAGAGTTCAGATGCAAAAGCCTCTAAGTGCCATCTGAAATTTTCTTCTAAAATTAGCATTTTTATCAGGTTCCTATGCTTAGGTTCAGTAATTTTACAAATAATGGCAATGTATAGGTCCTTTTCTATACTATTAAAGTGAAAGAACTGAACATAAATATAGGAGCTTAATAAAAATGGTCATTTTAGATGAAAATTACAGATGAAAATTACAGATGGCACTTCTAAATTTTCCTTTGCATATATGCCTTTAGTCCACATCATGTTTACGTGTTCACATGATCACCTGGATCTCATCTCACATATTTTCACCATGAAAAATGTTCCAGAACAGTAATTTATGTGGGGTTGTGAAATTTCAAAATATCACCAGCTACTTTTGTCTATCTTTGCATAAGAGAGG